CTGAATGGAATGAAATCATTTCACTTTGGGTCTTCTTATATCATTTCAAAGCATAATTTTATCCTATAAAATTGCAAAAACAAATACTAATTCTAATTGATTTCCAACCCAAGACATTCAAGGGTCTAAATGATATTATAATGTACATAGCATCTTTCAAATAAAGTTTAATTTATTCAACCATGACTCTTGCATGGTTCAAGAAAGCACCACCTCGGCCAAGTTCCAAAAATTTTTACTCCCGAGATGTGTTTTGGGCTTTGAGGATAAATACTTCCAAGCCCACCAGAAAACCCATCTTAAATCTGATTTTTAATTTTTGACCAACTGACCAATAACAAAGCCCAATATCATTCATGAGTTGTAAGACAATGATCTTGACTTGTGATTTGTCATCAAGAATCAAATACTGATTAAGAATTGTAAAAGCGAAGTGTTGATTTGTTTTGGTCTCTCCGACAAAACCTTCCCACTGGAATTATTTTAATTCAAGGTTTAAAATAATAAACAAGGGTGTTGAATCATGAAAGGTTATTCAATGTAATGTTTATATAAAATATAATATACAGTTTTTAATATTTTATTATTAGAATATTGATAGATGGAACATATTATAGTGAAAAGATCAATAATACCCTTGGGCTCTTTTATTTGAAAAACTCTACAATAATTCCTATTTTTAATATAATAACATTATTTTTGTGCCTTCACTAGGTCTACCTCCTTTGTGAAACTTAGGGGATGCTTCAAACAATCACCACATAGACTTTCAAATATTTAACATACTTTGAAAATTAGATAAATATTAAAATAATATATATATATATAGCATTTAAGTATTTCCAAAAATGTTATTTAAATATACTAATAAAGGTATGACATTACTAGCAAACAAAAGAAGCAATTTATTTCTAAAGTAGTTATATTTTGTAATCATGTTACTTTATTGACTGAGTAAGAATAAAAAAAGAAAATGATATCAAGATAGTAATTAAATTTTCTTTTTATAAATGTTTGATTCATAGTTACATGGCTATATATGATTTAATAGCTTATTAAACAAAAAAAAAACACTTTGATTAACCATTTTCTAATAAAAATATCTTTCTCCTTGATCAAACACTTCTGCTTAATTATTATTCAGCAAAGTTATTAATCCCCATTGCTTTATATATAAAAAAATGGGTTATTTGGATGACCCATTAAGTTCTCATTTCTCAGTTTAGAGTCAGTCCCCTTGGAACTAAATTTTGTCTTTCTCACCAAACTTTGCTAATTACCTTAGATTTACGAGAATTTTGCTAGATTATGGTGTCATTCGGCAAGTAATTTTTTTCAATAGCCGAATGAAAAAAAAAAAAAAAACTGAAAGATCATACAGAAAAACTTGCCAAATGCCCCCTACATCTTTCGTACAAAGCACATAGAGGAATCTTACTGGTCTATACCTTAGTGGAGTGAACTGACATTTAAAAACAGAAAAAAAATAAAGACAAAAAATAAAGTTCATAGGTCGACCCATCTGCTCATGAGAGTCTAGAGGCAGCACAGCAGCGACCCTACACTAGTGTACAAGACTTGGGACAAATTTCAATGAAGAAATGAAGACAAACCAAAAATTTAAAAAAAAAATTAAAAAAAAAAAAAGAAGAAGAAGAAAAAGAAAAAAGGGATGGAGAATCCACCGTCCCAAGTGGATTGTAGGCTCTCTTGCCCAACCATCTGAGGACATCAAGCCCTAAAAAGTAAACAAAGAAAAGGTAGGTTGAAGATTCGGTATATCTGGGGTCATCAGCTTTTCCTGTCTTTAGCCTGAAAGCGCATGAGTGTCCAATCAAAGGTATCGCATCCAACGTTTATAAAGGGAGGAGGGAGTATATTTGTAGAGTTGAGTCTGGACCCACTAACAGCGTGGGGCATGTAAGCCGAAAGGTTGTCTAAGGTTGTACTTTATCAGTTCTATCCTAACGGGCAAAAGCCTTTTAATTGAAACTTTCAGACGTGTCCAACCAAAATGAAAAAAGGTCCAAGTCGCCACCCAAAACGTGTCTTTGGCCCATGGGCCCCTGCTGTTTCAAGGGATCAAAGGATCAGTAGGCCCACGGCCAGAATGGCTTCCCCATGCTCTTTAACTTTTAAATTAAACCATTTTTGTATATTTTTTTGAGAGTTGCAAACAGAGGTGGATTTAGGACCGCAAACCGATCCGATCGAATCGGATATAGGTACATATCCAAATTTGATTCGTTTATATTTGAATTCGAATTGAATAGTTAAATTAAATGAAAAATGACTTTAATATTTATTTGGGTTCGACTATGATATAGAAAAAATATGATACCAGAAAAACATCTGACCAATCAATTGGAATCATAGATGTAATGGTGAATCAGGTGTTATTTATCAAAATTCATGGGTGGGTTTTGATTCGTTAAAACTCTTACCATACCATATCTTTCCTGCATCATAGATTTTCCCTATATTTATTTTTATGAACAAACTGAATCAAAAATTACTTATATAAAACTTGAACCTAGGACAATTCAGTGAAAATACAACATTCAAATCAACTTCAATGATAGATATAATATAAATTTTAAGTGTATATGAACATCTATATTTAAATCAAATTGAATTGGATTATATCAGATCGGATAGGGGAAGACCTATATTTGATTCAATTATAAACAGATCAAATTCAGATCACCCTTAATAAAATTAAATTCGAAATCGGGTTATCAGATACCGTTTGCATTCCTAGGTGGATTAGGGGAGGATAGAGAGCGAGCCCCGTCCTTATCGAACAATTCCAGAAAAATGGATTTGGGGTCATATGAGTGTATCGATAACCACAGACGCTGAGGATCAACTGTTTGAGGCCCACTGGCCCAGGCCCGTGGTCAGTGATGATGGTGAGTCCGTATGCATGTTCTGGTCACAAGCCTTTAAGCTAAAATAGTGTTTCAATGTAATGGTGTATTTAGGTAGCATTTGGCATTTCTTATTTTAAGGACTTATCTCCTTTTTAATGTTGATAGGGGCATTTTAATTGCAAAAAAGAAACAAGTGGTTAAAATAAGAATACCAAATGCAGCCTTAGTGGCGAGCCAGGGACGTCTATGTTGTGGCTCATGTATTAGGACCTATGTGTGTTCAGTGATGTATAATCATGCTCGAGGGATAATTGGAATTATGCATTTACACAGCCTTAGATGAGCATATTGATTGAGTCTAAGTGTTCATTTGAGAGGGCTTTCATGCAGTACTGACTTTTGGTTGTGCAAGGTAGATCCATACAAATCCGTGAAGTTGTGTTTGGTGAAAGACCCATAAAAGACGAAAGAAACGCTGTAATTGAAACTGAGAATTCAACTTTCTGACGAAGCAAGTTTTCTATCTTCTCCCAAAGCAGTTGAGTCAACGCAGCTCAATCAATACCAAAGCCCTCCCCGTTTGGTCCTAAAAATTATAACGCAGCTGCTCAGGCTGCAATATCCTCTGGACCTCAACACGACCATGTCATAGGGATAGCAGCAACCGAAAACCCAATCCCCAGGCTTGGGCTAGAAGTTGACCCACCAGATCATGCTCCAATGACATGATCATGTCTTTGGGGACAGTTGAAAACAGTATTATCAATTTGTTTCATGTGAACGTCAGAGTAATGTCCCAATAAGATGATCCTCGTTTGAAGAGGAAAAAAGTTGCTTCTATTGATGAAGATTTTTCAGTTACTAATTCTTAGGTATTTAGGTTATATTTTTGACTTGTAGAATTAGGATTGCAAGCAGATCAGATGAGATTGAATTTTTTTTTTCTTTTGGTAGCCTGGTGGTAGACTTGTTCGTGGGTTGGGTCAAGCCAGGCTTTCACTCTGCATTAATAGATATTTTAAGGCCCGAGCCTGAGCCCAGACCGACCATCGAGCCTACAACTTGGGCCCGAGCCCAGGCCTGGGCCAGAACCCGAAGTATATTGTTTATGCCACTGCTGAAGCAGCTGAATAGAGAGAGAGAGAGATTATAAAGAAAAAATAATAAATGTATATATTAAATTATTAATATATATATATATATTATAATAAATATTATATAAATGAGTCAGGCCAGGCCAGACTTTATTGATAAATCCCAAGCCCGGCCCGACACACAATCAAGCTTGATGTTTTGAACCCATGGGCCTAATTACATGTCTAAGCCCAACCGGGGTGCAGGCCGGGCTGTCGGGCTACCCAGCCAATGAACAGGTCTACTGGTAGGTATGTACATCTAAATTTGATCCATTAATATTGGATTTGGATATTATTGAGTAACCTCTATTGTGACTTTGGCCTATGGCCTATGGGTCATGGCTCATTAGTGAACATACAACATTCATACCAACCTATCACCCTAAATGGAGAAGACTGTACACAACACAGTTTTGAGGTTCATCTTTTGTACAAGAGTTTTAACTTGGAATAAACAATAAAGTCACCAATTAGCAACCTTTCTCTTCAAGAAGGATGACACAAATAGTCGCAGCTGCTTTACATGTTCTTTTCTCACTTGTTAAGCAAGATTCTTAAAAGGCAACGCACCAACATATTGTGAACCAGTCACCCAGAACAGCAATTTAACCAAACACCATCGCCAAAAATATAGGCTAAAATGCTAAATGAACTGTAGTAAAACAGAACTGGTCAGGTAGGTGACCGGATCCCAGTTTTTCAGGTCCGCCCATCCAGTCCAGTTTTGAAAACCATGGTATTAACACGATCGGGACCACACCATTTATCCATTTGTCCATTTATTCAGGGGGGTAGAGGAGCCTTTGTCCTTGCTCAGGGTTCTGGCCAGTTCAGAGGGTAGAGGAGCCTTAAACTGCCCCCTGAACTGGTTTTTGAAAAAATAAATAAATAAAGCAAAAAAACGCAATCGATATCACCCGACGTGTCAATATTTTGAACCTTGGATACAACTACTAAATTGCCATTTGGCGAGGAAAAGAAAAACTACAGATGCGAAGCCAAAAACATACAATAACAATGATGGAAAAAACCACATTTGGGAAGTAGAGAAAAAGATAAAAGGTATTTTTGTCTCAAATGGTCTCCGCGTCTCGCAGACACTTTTTGGGTTTTGATCAGTAATCTTCTACCAAAATAAAAAATAAAAAATCAGTAATCCTCAAGGTCTTACAAGACCTCAAAGTCTTACAGTTAACAAGAACCAATGGTACACGACGAGCAACTCAAATGAGAATAAGATCCACAACATTAACACCTTGTTTTTCCTCTGAAAGCTTGGCAATATCTACTACCTTCATGTGTTTTCCAACATTCGGTACCAAAGTCCCCCACAAAAAGGAAAACTGAAACAGTAAATAAACCTACAGTTGAACTACCCTGTCATCTCGATCTTGATCTCAACCTCTAACCTTGTCATGTAAAAAAAGGGAGGATCTACTTACATCTCTCAGCTCACCAACTGTTTGGGAGCTTGTTGGCACTCCCACCCATTCCTTGCAAACGAAACAACTATACGACAGGCTTAGAGACCGAAGAAGCCCAACTCACTGGCTCTTTCCTTCTCAAATGTCTCAAAATACTGGTAAATGATCGTGACTGCAAGCAGAATACCAGTCCCAGACCCAATCGCTCCCATGAAGTCTGCCAGCACTGTTAATGCACCAATGCACATGCCTCCAAAGGCTGCTGCAGTGGGTATGTAACGGTTCAGTTCCTTCTGTAAATTTGACTCCCTATGACCAGGCATCACCATTTGTTGCTCCTGCAGAAACAGTACGAGACATGTCAATTATATATATAGAACGAAGTGGCTCTTATTGGTCCATGTCAGCTATTTCTCTCTCCTCCCCTTGCTTCCCAACCCCATCAAATAATGCAAAGTTGTAGTTGCATTGTATTTCAAAGCATATCATTTACACTTCCAGATTAGTTCTATGATTGTTTATGATTCCATAGATAATGTGTAGGAGGAGGCAACGTTATCAAATAAGATATGCTATGGTCCTATGGAACCTAGAGAAGCTCCATTGCTCCTCCCAACAATATCATACATGCATCAACACCAAAATCTATTTCTGAACAAGAATGAACACTTGGCCCTAGAGAGAAAAGGACATAGCTTTGAAGCCTTGATAAGAACATACAAAGATCCAGAAAGCAGGTAAGTGCCTATTCTGTAACTGTTTATGGCTGTGGATTCAAATGAAATAAATAAAAGGTTATTATCTGAAACTCCACTTCATTTTTCTTACATTTGCTTACTCCACTGTACCTACAGAACCTGCAAGCATGGGCGGAATATATGTCATCAGTCAGTCAGTGGGGTCAGTTGACCCCACTGGAGTTGAAAAACAATGCTAAGTATAGGTATTGTTTTGAGCCATTTCTCCATATTGACCGACCCCACACTCTCCATTCAAATTGAATGAAAATTTAAAGGGGTGGGGTCAATTTAGTAACTTAAATATTAAAGAGTGGGCTAGACAAAAATATATTGGGTTTTAACCTTAGATAAAAAAAAAATCAAATAAAAAAACAAAAGACAGCTTCAGAAGAAAACTATGAATTTTTAATGTAATTTTCTTATCTTTTGATGCAAGACTAGTTACGAAGTTAAAATCAAGAACTCACTTACCACACTAATTAATTACAAGCATCACAAGTATGATTTTTCTAATTTTCTTACTTATAATTGTGTAGTTCATTAATAATTCTATATACTTTTAATTTTTCCTTCCAGAATTATATTTTATATGTTTCTTTCATACTAGTATCTAGATGTTTTTTTTTTTTGTTTTAAGATTTACAATTGCTGAAGACAATTGTAAAATTACATTTATTATTTTTTTTCAAATAGTGTGAAGATTTTAAGCTTTTTTCTTGCATCTGTATTTTGAAGATTTTAAATTATTTTTGTTACTTTTAGTCAAATCATTTAATGCCATAGCAAAAAAAATCATTTAATGCATAAAAACATTTTTTATACAAGTTATTGAATGACCCCATTGGAAAAAATTCCTGACTACACCACTGCCCGTAAGAAGAAGCATTGTGTTATTACAAGGGGCTAGATGGGCTAGGAGCAGAGAAAAAAGGAAATGGGTCTAAGTAGTAGGAAATGATTTCAGCACTCGTAACTTCATAATGGATATGACATTAAACAGAATGGACTGGTAAAAAAGGATTATTATATCATCTATAGAAAAAATGGATTATTAAGCTAATTATCAAAAAAAAATATTATGTTAATTAAGCTTACTCCAACTTTTGATACCTCTAGAGACTCCCCCAGTCAAACACTTTTAATTATAAGCATATACCTTCCATCAAGTCAATGGTAGTGACCATAAAGAAGTCCACATGGGTCAATCTTATTGTTTAAAGACAAAGCTAATCCTGACTGACCAGTCTACCCTATTAACCAATCTTTATATGACAAAAATACCCCCACTTTATTTCTCTCCCCTATTTCATCAACCCACGAACAGTTCACAATTTGGCTGAATTGATGACCCCATCTTCAGAATTTTGGTTCAAAAGATGGAGTTGAATAGAAGGGGAATCATTGTAATTTTGCAAATACCTCCATTTTCTAATGACAAATATCTGGCAAGGGGCCTATGGAAGTATCAAAAAGTCAGGGTGCAAAACAGTTAAGGGAAGTTTCAGAGGAAAGTGGAAACTTCCACACAGGCTACAGAATAGAACAAAGTGCACAAGCTACATAAATACAAACAAGTAACCTAAGAAAACCACAGGCTACATAAATCAAATAATCAATACCTTGAGCTGCTTAGCTACATCTCTAGCAGATGATCCAGAAACTTCAATCCAGGTTTTTGAGAAAAGTGCACAAGCTGACAGCATAAACACAAGATAGAACAAAGCATGGAAAGGATTGGCTGCCATATCTGCCAAGCTGCAAATCGCAATTCAAATATGTGGATGTAAGAATAGCAGAATCACCAAAGAAAAGCAAGATAATCCTGTAACTACAAGCAATATCTCTTTTTGTTTTGGTAATTACAAGAACATCAAAAAGAAAAATAACTTAAGCAAACAGACACTTGGAGTTGGGACGGAAAAATTATCAAAAAGAAAAATGACTTAAGTAATCACCTTGATGGTGCAGTAATATAGTATGCAACACCACCAACAGGAATGAATTGCCCGCCTGAATATTCAGATTCCTTCCACTTACCTAGCAGATTGACAAAGAAATTTCCACTGTACCTCCTGTACAGAAGCTGTATAGAAATAATGCTATTAGAACCATCATGATGATAAAACAGTGAAAAAGACCCCAAAGTCCACACTTCAAATATGAAACTGCTTCTTCTTTTTTTACCTGTGAAATAAAGTAAAGGTTGGAGACAAGTGCAGATTGTAGAATGATGGGCATGTTGGAGGTGTAGAACAGTTTGATTGGGTATGATCCTTGCTGTCCACGGGCATTCTTTGATCTCACAGGCAAGACAACACGGAACCCTTGGAAGTAGATAACAATGAGGAAGATCAAGACTGTGGCTAGTAAATTCGTCACATTTGGAAGGTTCTGTCGGTAGAAAGCCTCACGAAGAGCACGAACCTTATCAGTTCGAGTTATCAGAAGATGGAACAAAGCAATAACAGCACCTTCAAATTCAGCTCCACGACCACTGTTAATAGTTGTCGGGCTAAATGCTTTCCAAATTATGTTCTCACTGCAGGAAGAAATGGAAATTTTAAGTAAATGCCCAAGAGCATAATAGTGGAGACTAAAAGAAAAAGTGAACCGGAATCTCACCAGATATTTGTTGCTATGAAAAGGGAAATACCAGACCCTAGACCATATCCTTTCTGAAGAAGTTCATCCAAACATATAACAATGATACCCGCAAAGCAGAGTTGAACAATTATAAGGATGGCATTCCCCACTCCAAGTTGGCTCACACTACCATACATCCCGGATAGAACATATGCAACTGCTTCGCCAACTGCAATAAGAATGCCCAACAGCTTCTGTGCACCATTTCTGGAGGAAAAGGGCATTGTCAAGAATACTGGGTATAGCAGAATGCTTTGTCAAGAAAAGGGTGAACACAGAATGCTTGCATATGTCAACATGCACAATACATTTCAGAATATGGGCACAAAGAAAATCTCTCCATACAATCATAGCACTTTTCAATCATAGATTGGGACATGAAGAATAAAGGTGATTATAAAAACTTCAATCTAAAGAAAACATTATTAGTTGTCAAGAATCCTATTGAACTTCCAAAAATTCTTAAACCCTGAGATTTATCAACATTACTTTAACAAACATGGTATTATGCTTATAACTTGTATAAGAATTTCAGCAATCTGATGCTCAATAGAACCTCAGTAGATTTTGTTATCAACCAAAAAATATCAGCTTAGCAGAAAATTTATAAACAGAAGGAAGAAGAACCAATAGAAGAATTAGGTGCATTTCCTTTTTTTTTTTGGTAAATATTAGGTGCATTTCCTTTTTTTTTTTGGTAAATATTAGGTGCATTTCTTTTACTGTATGAATCCCTATCAAGATGAGCTCAAATCATTATGAAAAGGAACTAGAGGACTTTCTTAATTGCATGAACCCCTATCTAGAAGATCAGGTGAAAGGATTAAAAAAAAGAATTACAGGAATTAGCAACTTCAACAATCCAAAGACAGAGCACCAGAGGCAAAAGGTTTGCTAGAAGAAATTCTTACAAAAGGGCCCGATCTTCACGCACGCTGTTGTCCACTTCAATGATCTTTGAACCAGCCAATAGTTGCATGACCAATCCAGATGTCACAATTGGAGTGATACCAAGTTCCATGACAGTTCCACGATTTGAAGCAAGAATGACACGCATCCAATAGAATGGATCTGCTCCTGTTGTAGAATGTATGCCATAGAGAGGGAGCTGACTGCACACTAGAAAGATGAAAAGAGATATGACAGTGTATATCACCTTCTCCCTGAAGGGAACTTTGCGATCAGCACTCTGAACTTCAGGCAGAAATGACAGAAATGGTCTGACAAGATGCAAAACTCTGAACCCTCCTCCCATTTTGGGCTATTTAAATTAAATCAGTACAACCTAAGGCCAGTCATTCATAAAAAGGGAATTCTCAGTACAAATAATTCAGCATAAATACTATGTTGGATTACTATTGTTGGTGTTGCAGTTGTTTTTCTTTACATAGAGCTAACCTTAAACAACTTTCAAAAAAAAAAAAACATTTGAAGCAAAGCATATGATTCATTCCTACATTTTGAAGAACAATAATGAAGCATGACTCTAGCAGCAATAACCTGTTCATCAACGAGATATTAGAATAACCACAAGTTGTAGAGCAACAGAGGATTCTGATCATGACCTTCACTTGGGAAATAAAAGGAGAGGAGTGTAAGGAACAACTCAATTATGGAATATGACTCAATCAAACATGTAACAAAGGTCAGCTGGACGGGGGGCAAGTAAATAAAAGCATCTACAGATTAACACACGCGGTACATAATCCATCAAATTTGGAATCGTTGCAGGGAAACCTTATCTACCTAAAAGCAAGGCAGGAAGCATCCAGTGATTCACCCGTTCAGCATGCACATCCATCCCATAGAAATTTAACTTTGAAAGTTTTCACGAACTGACTAAACTGTAAGATCCCGCATTTTCTACATAATTGTGTTCCTATGTTAACCAAGATTCACGGTCGAAAGCAAAACTTTAAGACGAGAGCATCAACCCCGTAGACAAGCCAGGATATCAATAAGCACAGGTTACATAATCAACAGATTCGCTTTTCTCCGCATATATTTTAAAATGTTGACAACTCAACGCAAATTCCAATACGATCCCACAATAAATACATAACGGAAATCACAAAAACCTCGCATTTAGAGAATAAAGATTTAAAGTGTAGTAACAGCTCCTAAACATCCATTTTCCAGATCCAAATCCGACTCCATGAAACGAGAAATAAGATCACCAAAGCACGATGACGGAAGAAATTGAATGAAGACGAGAAGTTTCAAATACAGATCTACAAATTTCCGAACCAAATTAAACAGCGTTGAAAACGATTTGAGAACTCACCCTTTCGAAGATCTGAAGGATATGCAAACGAATCGAAGCCGGATTAAAGAGATCGAAGGCGTACAAGTTCTCCCAAATCCTCCCCCTCTGAAATTATTTGTTAGAATGGGATCGAAGAAACGAAGAAATACAAAAAGAGAAAACCCTCGCTCAGGGTTTCAGAGACGGAGCGAACCCGAAGCCCAGAGGTCCCGAGGAAAATATAAAGCCATGCGGGTGAGAGTTTGAGACATCCGTCGGAAATGCTAGGCAGGGAGTAATAACAACTTACGTGTCTTAATGCCACGGCATATTACCCAGTGGTTTTTAGCCACGTGTAAATAAAATGACATGGCAGGAGTTGTCCAATTCGATCATATTTATTTGTGCACATTTTTACCCATGTACGATAGATGAAATTACCACAATAACTTCTGGTCCAGACTAGTTCTTAAATATCCAAATCCAAAAGCAATTTATGAATTATGACTTATCTGATGGGAGGTCCCACAACATCTGATGTTGCGGCAGGAATCTGACGACTATCTCTTCTTGAAGGCTGGAGAACCAGAATCTGATCTGATAAAAAATGATGTAACGGACGGTGATGATGAACAAGGCCCACATCTTGTGGTTACTTAGGGGCCGGCTCTGTCACACTTGAGCTCAATTGCTTGGATTCGGGTCGAAGAATTCACGAGGACGAGGGAATTGGAACCAGATCCAGAATGAAGGAACCGCCGAAGTGACAGCAAAGAGCTGGGTTGGGTGGATTGGCGGGTCGGACTAAAAATAGTCAAACACAGACGTAACCATGGAAGATTGATATTCACCGTTAGATGCGCACATTTGAAGTCAAAGATGACGGGCTAGTGCCTGTGCCTTGCACGTTCCAGTTTTAAATGCAAGGGCTGAAGGGCATCCACATACTGAAATGTGAGAAAGATGGGTCGGGTCGCCCAATTGAACTAAACAATTCAATCTGGATAATTAATGCATCTACAAATGGAATGAATGCACTTGCCGTTGCTGCTGGTAGTGGAGAAGGAGAAGGAGAAGGTTATAGTTGGGTCGGGTCGTCGGTTGAACCAAATAATTCAATCCGGATAATGAATGCATCTACGATGCATGTGTTGTTCCTTGTTGATGGAGGGAGATTTGACCCGACCCCTTGGCCACGCGACACATGGAGGCCACCGGGTATGACCTGGCAGGAGCATCAGCTTGGCACAACGACATAGCCATAGCCCAAGAAGAGGCCCGAGCTCCCCAAGGAGAGGCCCCGAGCTCCCCAAAGAACCCATGCTTCTCAGGAGGCAGAACCCGAGCTTTCCTTAGAAATCCCGAGCCCTACAAGGAACACTACGAAAGGCAAAGCCTGGACTGACTCGTGGGTCAGTCTGGGCCACGCCCCTGTCCGAACTCAAGACTTCACCTCATACACCACTCCAGCACCTCAGCTCCAAGTCGCGTGAGTGAACGACTGTACCTGACACCAAAGAAGTCCGTACTCTGAGGTGACGTGCCTGACTGATCAGGGATCTGACACATGACAGCCGCACTCCAACGGCCACCTGCTACCGCCATCTCAGTCGTTGTAGAGACGGCTCCAACAGAGAAGACAGTGGCAGTTATGTCTGCCCCTGCAGAGGCGGTTACACCTGATCTAGCAAAGGCTTGGGAGTGAGTGCACCAGGGCGGTTATAAAAGGCCCTATTCCCCCAGAGTAAAGGTAAGTGATACTTTGCGCCTTCTGGTCTAAGAGAATTTCTCATCTTCTTTGCTTTCTCAAGAGTGCTAACTTGGGCATCGGAGCATTCCCATCGGAGCATTCTCATCTTCTTTGCTTTCTCTTGTTTCCTCCCTGTTTCAGGCATCTCCCGCTCCGTCAGAGGCAAGGTTACCGGCAACTAGGACCGACCAGATCGTGCATAATCATTTGGCACCGTCTGTGGGAACCGCTTCAAAAAGCCTCCCCCAACCTCTAGCTCTTTTCTAAAGAAAGAAAACTTAGCATTTATGGCTTTCTCCGACAGTGATAGACGTAATGCCGACCTGAATGTCGTCGGGGAACACCCTCAGCCCCCCATTGTTTGCATCGAACAATTCACCATCCCCCTCTCGGTGGACGGAGTCCCTAGCCTGAATGTGCCATGAACAGTAGCGCCTGTGAATGTTCCCCTTCCCCCCTCTGTTGAGACAACCTTCATTGAACCAATCGTTGTCCCTCTGGCGACCAGCCAGAACCAACTTGATGATTTGATGCAATGCATGCGGGCCATGCAAGCCCAAATGCAGCAGCTTCAGCAACACCAACTCTACCAGCAGCAGGTGCTACATCACGTCTCTTAGTACCACTACCAACAGCAGTTCCCCCAACTGCCTCAGAGCCAGCCACAGCTCCCACCTCGGCACCCTCCTATCAAGCAAGTCAAGCCCTCTCCTCAAGGCGGGCGCCCTCACCGGGGAGAAACTTCCCAGCCTCAGAACCCCTCCAGGAGCCAAGCCTCATCCCCCAGCAAGAGGGAGAGACCAACTACCCCCGCTTCGCAGCACGTCGACAGATCGGGGACCTCCCGTCCCATCAAGTCAGCTTCACCTCGGCGCTCTCAGTTCGGGCTCCCGCTCACAGAAAATCAGTTCGGCGCCTTAGCCGCGGACTACCACCAGCAGTCCGGGCCCATTGAGCTCGGCAACACCGAAGCGAGCAGCGCCAACACCGGACCTTCCAAGCAGCCGCGGAGGCGCTGACGAGCTCGCCGAACTACCACCCGCGTCCTACCCGAGCTCAGAGGTAAAGAGGAAGCGAGCTCGGGCGAGGTAAAGGTTACTCCTATCCTTTCAGTCCCTTCCCCCCTGTCATCAGAACTCCTCGTTGTCCCCATGCACAAGGATTTCAAACTTCCCCCGCTAGACAAGTATGATGGTTCCTTTGACCCGAGTGATCATGTTGATGCTTTTCAATCCCAGATGCACCTGGCGAGGGTCAGCGAGTCCTGCATGTGTGTGGCCTTCACTACCACCTTCAGAGGAGTGGCCCACACCTGGTATAGGAACCTGGCCCCGGGTCGATAAGGAGCTGGACCCAGTTCGTGCAAGTCTTCACCGCACACTTCGTCACCAGCAAGCGGTGCCCCTGAACTGAGGAGAGTCTCTTCGGTATAGTCCAGAAGGAAGGGGAGTCCATCCGGAGCTATATCAAGCGATTCAATGACGCATGCTTACAGATACCACGCCTAGACCCCGCAGTACGGTTCGCAGCGGCCAAGAGAGGTGTGACGCACAAGGAATTCAAATGGCACATGGTGGTCAACCAGCCCGCAACTATAGCTGAGTTCCTCAAGCTCGCGGACAGGTTCATAAGAACGGAGGAGGAGATCAATCAAAGAGTTGAGGGCGGGTTCGAAAAAAGAAAGAGGGAAAGTGAACCTTCTAACCAAGAGGACAGGAGGAAGAAAGACTCAGCTCGGGGGACGAAGCCACGTCAGCCGTTCCGAGCTCCCGTGGCAGATTGGGCAGATTGGGCAGACTACACACCCTTGGCGATCAAGGACGTTCCGTACATAAAGTGGCCACTCCGTCTGAGAGGGAACCCGAATGAAAAGAATAAAAATTTATATTGCAGCTTTCACAGAAACCACGGTCATAGTACCGAGCATTGTAAGAATCTCCGTGACGAGATAGAGGAACTCATTCGTCGCGGATACCTAAGGAATTTTGTACAGAATAATGGTAATAATAATAATAAAGCAGGTCGGCAGGGGGAGCACAGTAGGGATGCTCCCGAGTCCAGCAACAGGCCAGCAGAACAGTCACAGAAGCAACCCCCGGAGGAGAGACCAGTTCGGTGAACGGTCCATGTAATCGTCGGAGGGTCGATTGTAGCGAGTTGCACCTTGGCCGCAGCTCGGGCATCAACTCGAGAGGCCGCCAGAGAAGAGCAGAATCCCCCGAAGTGGCCAAGGGCATAAGAATCCATACTCTTCACCAAGGACGACGCGCACGGGGTTTACTACCCCCACGATGACGCACTCGTCATAAAGGTAAAGATCAATGATTTTGAAGTCAGGCGCGTCCTCGTTGATTCAGGCAGTTCGGCAGACATCCTTTTCAAAGCGGCTTTCGACCAACTCCAGTTCAAGAGAGTGACTTGAAACCTGCGAACACCCCACTGGTCGGCTTTAGCAGAGAGGAAGTCAGGCCCCTGGGAAGGGTTACAGTACCTGTGGAAGTCAGCACGTGGCCTAGCACAGTGAGGCTCAAACACGACTTCTTGGTGGTTGCGAGCTCCTCCCCATACAATGCCATAGTAGGTCGGCCGATCACCCATGCTTTAAGGGTTGTGGTGTTCACCTATTATTTGGCCATGAAGTTCCCCACAGACTTCGGCATTGGGGTAGTGCGGGGCGACCAGCTTGAGTCCCGCAAATGCTACGTCGCCGCCCTCAAGGAAAAAGCCAAGGTGGCCAGCGACCTCGAGCTAGAGCGACCCGTGGAACAGAACGAGGAGCGAGCTGTTCCCATGGAGGAGACCATTCTCATCCCTGTCTCGGTAGAGGACCCAGCCTGAGCACTTCAAATCGGCGCCTCCCTGGAGGAGCCCTTGCGATCCGAACTGGTACGCTTCTTACTCAGTAACTTAAATGTTTTTGCTTGGTCCACGGCAGAAATGCCCGGCATAGACCCTAACCTCATAACTCACAAACTCAATATTGACCCTGTAGTTAGGCCCATTAGACAAAAGAAACGCACCCTAGACCCAGAGCGATGGAGGGCAGTCGACGAGGAGGTCGGGAAGCTCCTCGCAGCAGACTTCATAAGGGAAGTTCATTACCTGAGCTAGGTGGCCAACCCCGTTTTGGTGAAAAAGGCTAACGACAAGTGGCACATGTGCGTCGACTACACCGACCTGAACTGAGCTTGCCCGAAAGATTGCTTCCCCTTCCCAGGATCGACCGCCTAGTGGACGCGACCTCGGGGCACGAGTTGCTAAGCTTCCTGGATGCCTACTCCGGCTACAATCAAATCAAGATGGACCCGGTCGACGAGGAAAAGATGGCCTTCATAACCGAGTTTGGCCTGTACTGCTACAAGGTTATGCCCTTCGGACTGAAAAATGCTGGGGCAACCTTTCAAAGGCTTGTGAATAAGTTGTTTAAACCCTTAATTGGCACTAAGATAGAATGTTATGTAGACGACATGGTCGTCAAAACCCAATTTTCACATGAGTTAATACAAGATTTGCATTCTGTCTTTCAAATTCTGCGCCAATTTAACATGAAGTTAAACCCAAACAAGTGTGTATTCGGTGTCG